GAAAGCATTTATCATTAAAAATCACACTAAGTAGAACTTTTAATGGCCATATCAACGCTTCTTTAAATGCTGCCTATTATATATGTGTGTGTGTGTGTGTTTGTACATCTCCCAACTTTCTTCTATAAAAATATTGTATTTCTTTTATAGAAGAGAAATAATACCAAAAGTTATACAATATGCAATGCTTAAATTGACTACATGGAAATTTATTACAGCATTTATTGAAATTTGATTGCACAATACTAAAGTCTTGTTTTTTCAATATTTTAATTTCATGTCCACTCCCAGAACTAAAAGTTGATTTGCGCTTCTGTTGAGAAAGTGTAAGAACTACATATTAAAATCTTATTATATTAGGAAGATGATAACCCAATTATAACTTTAGTTAATTTTTCTACCTGTCTCATAAAGGATAATGAATTATCCATTAATGTGTATATTTGTTCGATATATCACCAAAATGTTTCTAGGCTAAAAATATTTAGATTGAGGAATAAAACATAATAATAGCATACTTATATTAAGCAATATCCAGCATATCCAAAGCCACTTGGTCTACTGAAAATATTTTATCTTGCTACCTTTATTTTTAAAGTAACATATTGTGTGTTAAGGTCATTCTATAGTTAGAGCCCTAGTCAGAAATATCATGAAACAATCTAATACTCCATTTGTCTGATGTTTTCAGTATACATTTTAATCCTGTATTTATTATTCAGGCTTATTCAGTAGACACTAAGGCATTTTGTTCTGAAGTTTTTGTTCTACAAGTTTTATATATTTTAAGAGTCCCAAAAGTAATTGCATTTGTTCCAAAAAAGATTTACATTTGCAGTGTTTTTCTCAGCTAATTTTAGGCAATTATGCACCATTCCTAAGTGTATTGATGTACTTTCACAGGGCATTCATTCAGTTCCATAAAGATTATATTTCTTTCCAGATTAAAGTACAGAAAAGTGGAGGTGGCATGAAAATTCATTAGTGTACCAAAAAAACCCTGTTCTGCTTAAATTGTGATATTTTATTCTTATTTTATAGATAATATAACATATCCACAATAGCAAAAACCACTTTAATAACTCTAAGAGATCAATGTTTTAGCTTTTAATTATTAAGGTCCTTTTTACAAGTCATGACAAAAAAATGAACAAAGCTATGGAGACCAAACCCTCATCCTTAGCATCAATACAGTCCTGAAACAACCAATGATAGTATATAAAGGATATGTTCAGTTCATATAAAAACTATTAACTAAAAAGCATACCTTTTTTTCCTTTGGAGTTTTGAAGAAAATATGTAATGGAGAAAAATTTTTAAGTATACTTAACAATTTGATATGATGTTAGTACTTTCAGTGTGTTTCTTGCTATTCATATTTAGGATCTGTTTTTAACATGTCTAACTTTAGTGCCAAAGCAAAGAAAGCTACACAATATCCATTTATGTAACACATTTTTAGCAACACATAAAAGAAACTTGCTAAAACCCTCATTAGTATTTGACCTATTATGCAAACTATTAAAAGTACTAATATATGTACATTTTTCCTACCCTATATGCCCAGATACTGACTAGTAAAGTTAACCTTAGGATTATTTTATTCAGGCTGTATCCAACTGTTTGTGAGAAGAGCTTTCAATTAAAATAATGCATCTGATATCCTAATGTCTATGCCAAAGGGAAAATGAAAATAAACTCAGCAACAATTCTGTTTACCAAATAGATTTTTATGCCTGTGCCCTAGCTATGTGTCTATCTTCAGAGAATGACTTGTTTAAAACTCTTGAGCTCAGACTTTCATACCTTCAGATACTGAAAATTTAAAACATCTACCTCCCCAAACTTAACCAATGATGGGTTTTGACAACTTTGTTGACTTAGCTAATCCCCTTCTCACTACTCTTGATATTAAGCAGTAAGTTTTCACTGTTTCTTTGTTTTTCTGCCTGAGATCAGGTTATTTCCTAATTTTTACACTTAGCTACACACACTTATACATTTATATTGGATTTGGGGCCCCAGAGCTGATAACTCCACTTTAGATGGTCTCCATGGATTATGGAAAAAGGAAGAAGTGTTTTATGCTCTCCTTTATACTCTCCATAGGCTAGAAAACTAATTTTAAAACATCAGTTACACCTGAAAATGTTTTACATAAAATCTGTTATGAATTGAACTTCCTTCTAAATACTGATTTTTATGTAGGCATTTTAATAAAAAACTTCTCATCTTGAGGATTAACTAATTTTTTATACTAGGTCAGACAGTGTCAAAAAGAATGTTAAAAATATTTCTTTTATATTCAGCAAAAAGCACTCCTTCCAAATTTTAAAGTGGAATGGAAATCAATCAGCCTCCATGTAATTATATTTTCAGTAATTCATTTTATTTCGGTGCTTACAATTTTCTTCTATAAAACCAAAATAGGCTTCTTACACATTGTAACTTGATTTAATGGCTTTATGAAAGCCTTTATAAATTCCTTTGGTAAGTGATTTTTAAAGAAAATCCTAAAAATGCTACATAGGATTTTACAGTGCATCAGTTTTATTCGATTGGCAAGTCATAAATCTATGCAGAAAAATACTGAAAGAGTACTCATTATATCTTGCTAACTATGGGACTGTGTAGCTTGAATTTGAAATGAGTTCTGAAGAATTATTTATAACAATTAAGATGTACTTGGCTTCCAAGTTAGCAAGGACTTTAATACTTTTGATATTTTTTTAAATACAATTTATAGATAGCTAAGAAACATATATAAACAGGTTTCATCATCCTTCTTCAAGGCATAGCCCATGTCCAACACAATAGCTACATCTCACAAAAAATGTAAAACATAGAGTATTCTTTATGCAATGTGTAATAACGTCTCTAATTTTAGGAAGTTAGAATATGTCTTGACTCTTACATATGAGGTACAATTTACCAAGCATTATCCAGTATGTGGCATTTTAGCTAAAAGGGTGGTATTTGTTTTGGTAATAACTAGAGTCAAAGGGCATTTAATCTGGTTTCTGCAGGCTTGTAGAAAAGATCTCTTAAGAATACAGTAATAAATGTGCAGTAAATTCATAGAACTTAAATTGTTAGTAAGATGAGTCTTTACTAAGTTCATTTGTATTACAAATTTATGTATGAAATGAAAACTTTCAGTATTTGTCACCTCTAATAAAATTCTCCAGCTTTGTTACTCTAATACAAATAAAACTTTTGAATATTAATGTTTCCATATTTAGAGATAAATGTGTATTTAAAGCATTAATTAGTGAAGTGTTATTTCAAAATCTTAGATTAATGAATTTATGACAAAACATGCTTTCACTTAGAGAACTAATAGATTCAAGTATTTGGAATGCTATTCTGAAAATAAGAAACAAAATAATCTTAAAGAAAAAGAAAAGTAGAGACTATAACATTATTAAAATTTTTAACAATTTATACCAGCACACATAAGCAAGCTTAGGAGATAAACTACTGAAAGCAAACAAGAAATGTATTTCATGAAAAAGATAAGTATTTTTTCTAAGTTCCTATTTTGGTGCTCATCTGTTTCATGATCTAGCTTTCAAGAACTAATTCCTCATCTTGAAACACTCATTGATATATTTCAGTGAAGGGTTCTCATTTAAACTTTCCATCTTGTCTTTGGATCTGATTGTACTACTTCCTCTTCCCCACTACAGTGCCCTCAGTATATACTGGGTGATGGATTGTGGTACAGGTGCTAAGGATGGTGCTGAGCCTCGGGCGCTGAGACAAATTTGATTCTAGGCTCTCCTGTTTTACTAGCTGTATAACCCTAGCCAAGTTACTTGATCCCTGTTCCTCAATTTGTCTTCTGTTAAACAGAGAAGGAATAATACTTTATAGAGTTGACAGGAGAAGTAAAAGAACACAAGTAACGGATACAACTATTAGTTCTCTCCCTTCACCTTTGCTATGCAACCAACAATTAGAAAATTTGGCAAAATTACGGCCCTGGTATTCTCCCCTTTCAGTAATCCGTAAGATGACTTAGTGAACAGGCATATTTGCTGACACTTCCATTTAAAAAAGCAAGTTATTTTCACTGAGGCATGCATGGAAAAAGACAAAGTTTTTGTCACAAAACCTTGCCTGCTACACAGTTTTATTTTTTTTCTACACTTAGCAATGATGATATGCTTGGTAGTGAGTATTAAGGACTGTTAATGTCTAGTGTAACTTATTAAATTTTTATTTTCTCATTGCCTAGTTTCTCTGAATTCATGAACGGCAGCTTCATTTTTTTGCAGACTTGAACGTTTTTCAATTTTCAATTTTTATATTTTGAGGCTATATTATTAAGCATAACAAGTTCATAACTGGTGTAACATTTTGGCGCATTATTCCTTTCTTGTTAATTGATAAAAGTCAGCCAATCCTATACATTTATCTTTACTAATGGTTTTCCCCTTAGTATACACTGTCTATTAATATTATGATACCAGCTTTCTTTTGGTTAATAAATGCATAGTATTTATGTCTTATTTTCTAAGTATACACCTTCTAACGCATAAAACTAACTTTAAAATTTTAAGCTTGAACATTGCTTTCTTTTAATAGAAGATTCATCCTGTTTTATTACAATTATTGATACATTTGTATTTCTGCCATCTTATTATGCATTTTCTTTTTTAATATAATTTTCATTTTTCTTTGCCTTTTTTCTCCTTCCTGTTTCCTGTTGGATTGTTTTGACATTTCTTTTTATCTGGCTTGAAAGAAATACATTACATATTTTAGTGATTAATTTAAAATGTATAATATGCTTGTTAACTTATATTGTTGATATTTATAGCTTTTAACCAATAGATGCTTCTAGACTAGTTCAAAGGAATACAAATTATTGAAACTATCTAATGTGTTCCAAACTAAGTTACTACCCTTTTAAAAATATTTTAATCAGGAAAAATGTATAATGGTAATATTTTTATTGAACATATTGATGAGAACAGAATGATGATTCCAAACTATACCAGTCAATCATAAACCTTTACTTATAGGTTCATCTTCACATTAAACCCCACAAGCCACTGACTGTCAACTAATGAGGGGTACATGCACAAGGCACAGACTTAGGAGTAGGAGCATACTGAAGTTAGTATCATTTTTCCCCATACCATACTATATTCTAAGAACAGTGGCATCATCCATTTCCAGTTATTCCTAGAACTGTCTCTCCAGCTTACCAGTGTCTTCCAGGCCCTCTGTAGATATTTCATCCCCAAATCCTTAATCACTTGAAGCCAATGTTCATCTCTCTGTGGAACTCTGATTTTCTTCTTGAAGGTGGTACACTTGATTTCCTGAAACATCTGGCATCTCACACCATCCTGTTCTTAGATGTGAACTTTAAAAATCTGTGGTGAATAAACTGTTTTAAACCAAATGGGAGTGAAATTCATTTCAGAACCCAGATATACTATAGCCTTGCCTTATTCTGGTGAAGATCCAAGTATAGCTGAACCTCTCAGTAGCCTCCATGAGGCACAGTAGAGAGTATAGCATTTCTAGTTAATCAAGCCCATATCCTCTTGGTGTGTAGCTCTTCCCAATTCCCTTTCCTCATCATGAAAATATAAGTAGAAACTGATTAATCATAATCTTAAGCAGGGTATTTTAGAAATGATCAACTATTCCCTATTACATTTTTCCCTTAATTCAGAGGATTTATACTGGGTAACCTAGGACTACCTAAAAACTAAGAGAAGATGATTTCTCCTTTAAATTGGTTAGTCTCTTCCCCTCAGCTCAAAGTAGTTCTTGGTGATAGAGGAAAACAGCATAGGCTGGGCTTCTCTTACCCTCTCTCTCAAAAAAGAGTAAAGCCTTCTTAGGTTAAAATCCCCACTAATTAACTTTAATAACTTTGCTGTTACCGTTCTAGCCATTCCAGCAATATTAACCTCCAAATTAGTGTGTTCCTATTGATAAAAGTTAGCCAATCCTATCCAAAACTCCTGAAAGGGAAAGGAGCAGGACCAGCTACGTTGTGTGGAAATGACATTATTTCATACTGTGTTCGTTTTGCAAGGGACTCAACAGCTTTCCTCTAAACTGATCCCCTAAAATGTGCTCTTTTGCCCTAGCTCCTCCAAGCCTAACGAGTAAACCTTTGCTGCAAAACAGACATATGGCTAATGCTATGTCCACACTCTTTTAGGTCCAATGATATTGATCCTGGCAAAAAAGGAACACAGGGATCAACCAAGGTTTACAACAGCTTCAACCTCACCAAGAACAGTCGTTCTCTGTGATAGAAGTATGGATAGTGGGGAATTGCCTCCAGGAGGCAACTGCAGATTATCATACTGCAGTTCTGTGGACTAACCCTTATTCAAGAGGTATGGCCTCCCCAGTAACTCAAGGTTACATTCATGTAGGCCAACAATGCAACTACATACCAGGGACAGGGCAGTCAGAGGCCCAGGAATGACCAAGGAGCACTCTGTTGAGTGCTTGCTACTTGCCATCTGCTGTCCAAGCGACTTCATGTTTATAAGTCATTCTAGTTGGAGTCCCATACATAACCTGACCAACTATTGGCTTTACTTCAGTTTCAGAATTTCCCAGATCGAAAGAACTTTATGTCCCATTCACAACTGTGAAAAAAAAAACCTGTGCCTCAGGGCCCATGTTCCAGCCTAGGCTTGCATGGGTACTTTGGCATCAACTTAATCAATTTATTGGACTCTTCTCAGACCCTGTAGAGGCCATAGAGGTCCTTGAGAAAAATAATGAAGCCTACTTCCACAATAATTGACATTTCAATGAAATCAGAGATTATATCTATTTCTTGTTCTTGACTATTCTTGACCGCCATATATAGCCATGTCTTCTACTTCTGAGGTGCCTAATCTGTGAGTCCACTTGTGGAAAAGCTCACCAATTTACAATGGGGCCATTTAACATATACACTGCCCACAACTTCTTGCATGACTTCATAGACAGGACTGTAGTCTACTGAGCTGACAGCTTATTATTACTTTAACATGAGATCCCATAAACTCCTAATCAGTGCTAACACTGCCTCCAAGAATACACCAAAATGAGTATTTGAGAGCCTTAAGGGCAGTATTTGGGAGAAATTTCCTTCTGGTCAAGGGATCCACAGATGCCAGAGAACAGTTCTGGAATAGGGGTATTCTTAGATGTTTACAAGTTTATCGTCTTCTCCCAGAAGGGGTTAGGATGCCATCTCTTAGAAGTGCATGTCCTCCAGTTTTAAGTTTCACATATCCTTCCTTTACCATTCTTAAACTGCTGGATCAAACTGAACACATCACCTGAATACCCAAAGGATATTTGCTTTACCTATTCTGCCTGCTACAGAGAATCCAGCTGGTTCATCTTCCTTAACACTACAGAGTTAAGTCAGATCCAACTTACCACACTTCTTCACTCAAAATATCCTGTCTTCTGTATAATTATGCCCTCTCCTCTTCGGTTCCTCTACTTCCTTGTGCTCTCTGGTACCTTACTCTGGTAGCCAGGTAAGTGCCTGCTCAAATGACAGCACAATAGGAACTCCATTAACACCCAGCAAGCCAAGGTCCAGTGTACTAACCAGCACGAAGTCATAGGAAAGATCATTCAAGTGGGAGACACTCTGTCTTCATTTATGATAGGGGCTGTACGAGTGTAATAAGGGCACTTCTAAAGCAGAGATTCATTCCACTGGATTTCCAAGTCTGTTTTCGTCCATCCAGGGAAACACACCCCATCTCTTTGACCACATTGCTCTGTCCAGCTCTAGCAGATTAATTACACTCCATCGTAGGCCCTAGTAATCCCAGTAGGAAACTAGAACATGTCATACAGAAAGCCCTTCCATTATGAAGAATAGGAGGGTCTAAAGGAATATTTGTAGAAATGGTCCTTCCACATTCAGAAATCAAGCATTCTTTTCTAAGCAATGTTTCCAAGCAACAAGAACAAGAAATCTCTCCCCACAGTGATTAAAAAACAGAAACTGGAGCTGAACAGTAGCACCTAGAATAAATCTGGGGTAACTACCAGCACAATAATTTACTTCATAGTGAGCTCTCTCTGCTTGCTACCATACTTCGGATGGATAGTTCAAGGCAAGTTCTCATTTTAAATTTTGGCCTAGCTGTCCAGTCACATTTGAGATTTAACACTGGCTTACTGTGTTACAGTCATGTATAAATTGATAGCTTAACATCATTTCTGTGATGTTCTCTTATGGAGCCTTGGAGAGATCCCTAAACCCAGTTTGAGATTCCTGGAGCACTGATCATTTCCTCTCTTCACCATCACTTTCAACAAATGCAACAGAACAGATCTGAAAAAGGTATTTACAAATTTTTAAACTTTAATAACTTAAAAGAGAAAATGAAATAATCAGTTTAAATTACTTGAAGTAAATGTGTTAACATTTACATAACCATTCCACCATTTCCTTATTGTATTACACATCCTGGACCAAAAGAAAATTATGTAAAGTAAATTATGTATGTGGATGCCAAAATTAAGACTAAGAAATATAAAGAAACTATTGCCTTTTTGACCTATTTACAGATTTTTAAAATCATAATTATAAACCTAATGTTATTAAAGTTTAAAAATTTTAACATACCAAGTACTTCAAGAGAGCTTTATAATTTATCATAGATAATCCAAACAAACATGATACATTTACTTATTAGGTTACTAAACATTTAATAAAGCAAATGTCCTTTTTCAGTCGTCTGAAAAAAACAGGATTCTGGGGGGTTTCGTTGCTTCCTATTAAAGTAAAAGAAAGCAGTAGTTGTAGTTACTCCTTTTATTCTAAACATTCTGAAAGCTTGATGTTAAATATGTTTGGCTAGAGCCATCTACTGGTTGAAGTGTGATGTTACAAAGCATATCTGTTGGACTATCAACAAAGTCATAGTTTTAGGAACTGAAAATATGGGCAAAATTCAACTAAGTCTAGGACACTGGTTTTTAAAGTTTTAATGAAAGAATCTCTTTTCAATAGGAGAACCAACATAAATAACAAAGTAGGGCTACCTTGTAAAAGCTGAGGTAGGGGCCTCCAACCCCCACTCTCACTAGTTTGCCCAGTAGATGCCAGGCCAATGAAAATCAAGCCATGAGAGGTAGTTAGGGCAATTAACTGTGGTTTGGAAGGAGGTGTAATGAAAAGGAATAGTCTCAAAAAGCTGTTTCTTACCCATCTTTCCCCGGAGACATCTAAGAGACACTGGTGTACAAAGGACAGTGGTTAATGGACGCAGAGAACTGAAGAGTGGAGCACCTGAAAGGCTACAAACCTCTTTTCACAGGACATTGCTTATGTGCTCATTTGATGTAACACTTGAGAAAATATTGGTATAACTTTCCTGAAAATGCAAAATAAGAAAATAACACATTCATTTTTTACCACAAGCTAAAAAGAACTGAGTTTCTAGGTCCTATGGGCTTTCAGCAGCCAAGCCCTGGACTGGTCCAGTCTTGGAAACAAGAGCCCAGTTTCAGGTCCCAGCCTCCTCCCTTCAAAAGGGCATGGACATCCATAGAATCGAGGCAAGAAATGGAGCTCTCCAAGGCTCCTCTCTGTGGCAGAGACCCCCAACCTGGACAACAGCTTGTCAGCTAGGCTTGGGGTGACAGGCTGGAGCAAAGTTCCAAAGACTCGCAAACATTCCAGGGCCACATGCAGCACAGTACCCAGCCAGAGAGCATCCACAGGGCTCTCCCAGTTCAACTTCCACGGTGCATGCCTTTGGATAAAGCCATTAGTTTGCCGGGCACAACTGGACACTGCCTCCAGAGCCTTATAAATCTGAAAGTTATCATAGTGGTCAGCGACCTGCTTGGGCAAAATGGCCACTGCTCTAACCAGAGCATAGTCCTCTGTCTGGGCACGAACTGATGGCCCCACCAACCCTGGCTCACTGGGAAAGCAGGCAGTGCAGAAGGCCGGATAGGTCCCAGAAGGATTTATTCTGTTGGCAGTGCATCTGTTCAAGAGACCTCCCAAAGCATCTGCCAGCTCGGAATCCAGCAATTTAACCACCTTTTCATCATAGTAATCACAATCCCAGTTGGGGACGCCCTGTCGTAGGAGAAAGTAGCGAAAACCATCCACAGTATAGCGTTCAAGGCAAATCCTGGGATCCACCACGTTGCCTAAGCTCTTAGACATTTTCTGTCCACACACCGTCCAGTGGGAGTGCACATAGATGCGGTGTGGTGGGCTTATGCCTGCCCCTAAGAGGAGGGCAGGCCAATAGATAGCATGGAATTTAAGAATGTCCTTGCCTATGATATGAGAGGTGGTTGGCCACCAAGATTTGAACTCAGCATCTGGGTAGCCGATTACAGTAAGGTAGTTGACCAAGGCATCCAGCCATACGTAGACGGTCTGCGAATCGTCTCCGGGCACTGGAATGCCCCAGTGCAAGTGACTCCTCCTGCGAGAGACGGAAAGGTCTGGAAGCTCCTCCTCCAGCCACTGAAGGACTGCGCGCTGGAAGGGCTCAGGTGTGATTGCCTGAGGGTCGTCCCGCAGCCACCGCTGGAGCGGCTCTCGGAACTGAGAAAGCCTGAAAATGTAGTTTTCTTCTTTGGTCCAGGACACAGGATGCCCGCTCTCGAGAGACACAGGACACGAATCCCCCGAAGGGCCTGGCTGCCGAGTGACCTTGGCCTCAGGCAGGAAGCACTCTTCGGAGGCGCAATACCAACCTTCATAGAGCCCCTTGTACAGCAGACCCCGAGCCTTCAGCGCCTCCCAGAAATGCTGCACCGCTACCTGATGCCGGACCTCGGTGGTGCGGATGAAGTCGGTGGAGGAGATGCCAGCTTCCCGGAAAAGCTGCTGGAACTGGGCAGAAACTCGGTTGCACAGCTCGGTCGGGGCCAGGCCCGCAGCGGCGGCTGCCTGCTGGATTTTCAAGCCGTGCTCGTCGGTACCAGTGGAGAATCGTGTGGCGGCAGCGCTGGGAATTCGCAGGCGACGGTAGCGGCACAAGGCGTCCGCCAGCAGCGCCGAGTACAGGTGCCCGATGTGCGGCGCCGCATTTACGTAAAAAATTGGCGTCGTGAAGTAGGCGCGCGCGTCCCGAGCATCGTCGCGGGCAAGGCGAGGGCCTGAACTGTAGCAGCGGGGCCTACAGTACTCCAAAAGCGAGACCCTACTTTTCCTTTCGTGTCCCAGCAGCCGCAAGGCAGAA